AGTAGTTTTACTTCCTAAATTCATCTGATAAAGTTAAGTCAGGAATATCAATGTTACGACTGCGCTATCCTCAGACAAGATGTATGTGGTGTAGCTTTGCAAGCTAAGGACCTATGTGCTCAGTAAATATTTGCTGAGTGAATTGGTTAGTCCCTCTTTCTGGGTTATGCACCAGCCCACTGTATATACACATTCAAACAAGTGAGAGAAACACATCTCCTTCCCTTTATGGCATCCCAGTCACAGCGCATTTTCAGCTATCTGTCCCAACCCCCACCCCTGGCCACTGCTTTCCCTCTCCACCCATCTACTTTGTCCCATAGGTGAATTAAGCGCTCCCTCTCTCCCACCTGCCCACCTGGCTGTCAGCCAAGATGAGCCTTCCTGCTCTTCATAACTGCTCGGCTTGGTTGACAGTCTGGCAAACTTAAGACAACAGACATCATCATCACAAAAACATGTATCTAAAAGAGCAAAAATCAAACAAAAAAAGAATACTGTCTGCAGTGAAGAAACCAAAACACTTTTCTTCATCTTTCACCAAATTTTGTTTTCCTACCTCATTATGGATAGACTATAGGAAAGTGGGAGAAGAGAAAAAAAATCAATCATGCATATAAGTTGGAAAAGCAAATTTCTCAGTACTATGAAATGTTTTGAGACATGCTAAGGTCAAACACTGTGACATCCCAAAGCCAGGCAGACAAATGTAGAGGAAGCAAAGCAAATTTAACACCAGGCAAATTCTAATGCAGCCACTGAGCACTGTCCATATGCCAAGAAGAAAGACAGGTTATATTAACTCAGTTGGAGTAGCTTTGTTTCTAACATCTATCTTCTGTCTCCGGATAGTGTGCCGGCAATGTCAGTACTGCTGACAGCTCAGAGCAGAAATACTCTCCACACACAGCTACCCACAGATTATGAGGTAACTGGATCCTGCAAAGGTACAGGATGGAGAAAGAAAAGAAAAGTCTGTTCACATTAAAGAGATCTTTCAAAGTCATTAACATCCCACACAATGTTCACCATTTTATTTGTATTAGGATAACTTTGTTCCCAGGCTCTAAAATACTCTTTCAGGGTCAAATGACTATAGCTCTTCCAATGGGTGGAAAGCATTTCAAATCCAAAATACTATAGTACAAATACAAAGGACACATTGAGAAAGAAATGAGTTTCACGATCTCTGCTTACTTCACAGCCCTGAGAATACGGGAAGGAAAGTTCTTGAAGGTAGACACTTTATCTGCAGGCTAATTAAGAACACAAGATTTTGCAAGTATGAAATGTATTTACCAAAGGAACACATGAAGGCCAATGATCAGTTCGTAACTCATTAAAAACACACATAAAATTTACCTGAAAATGGGTTGCTTCTGATTTTCCAATGGTGAATTTAACAGGGTGCTAGGCTTAGGTTTACTGAATACTGTGGTTTGATCCAATATAAGATCAAACAAAGTCAGAGAAGTTGGGATGTATATGGTAACTGGTGCCCATTAAAAATCAGACAGAACTGCAGAGAAAATCAGTGGTACTTTCAAAATCTCAATTCTATACCTAGATGGTGGCACACTGCAGATCCTGCTTCTAGATCGAAAAGAAAAAGGCACAACAAAGATTTCCAGAGCTAGTGTTTAAAGGTCCTTCACACAGTAAATCAACCTACTGCTGTCCTGTTTTCTCCACAGCCAGACTGAAATAATATGGCACCAGCTGAGGTGTGAATTACCTCCATTCATCTTAATGGAGTGTTAACTTCAAAGGCTTGTTTTAACCATCTAAATGCTAAGCTCAAGAGTAAACATTCTGTTAAAGAAAAAAAAAGTACAATTTTTAAACATTCACTTCTACATATGAAAGTAATTTAGTCTTGGCATTTTGTCTTTTAATTTAAGCAAGTCTCCAAATGTTAGAAAAGTATATTTTGTGCTTAGTTTTATTTTAAATAGTTATTACCTAATAAATTATGAACATTAAACCCATAATAAGAAGGCCTATTCTTCCCAGAAAGCATGAAATAAGGGCACTTGCACAAGGCTCTTCGGTAATCCTAGTGACAGCAGCCTGCTCTCACCAGCCATGAGAATAACTTCTTCCAAATTCCAAAAGAATGCTACATCGCCAAACAGGCAATTAGATAAGTTGGAACATTCAAGTAACGTAAAAGTGAATGTCACCACAAACTGTCTTTCTTGACATTAACTGAGTTCTATGCCATGTTCCACAGGTTATTTGTCCCCTTGGTAAATCTCTAAAAACGCTATCTCAGGAGCAGGTGACAAACGCATTAACCGTTGCCCAGCTGTCATCACACTTAACACTTGCCCCAGGGGGTATCCTTGCATCTGCTGTAGGTTTAGGGTTATTTTGGTATTGCTGGAGTTAGACTTATTTAAGTGCCTGAACACCTTTTCATATTTGGATCTGTAATTTTATACTCAGAAAAAGAGGGGTGTGAGTAGCAGTCCATCAATATGATGGGCGGAGTTGGACATGAAGTCCCACGGAGGCCCCATGGAGGCTTGGTCTGGCTGTGCCCCTGGACAATGCAGGAGGGTGCATCTGGGGTAGAACTGGGGGAAAGCCCCAACAACAGTGCCAGTGAAGGCTGGAGAGGGATTCTGAAGATAGCGCTTGTGTAAAATGAACAATGAAAAAACCAAAGATAAGTTCTCAGGTTTTTGATGGAAAGTAATTTCATTTTACTGGTTTTGATAAAGAATCAGAGAAAAAGGGTAAACATTTAAACTATCAAGAAAACCTATTTTGGTCTGCATCTAACCTATAGAAGGCCATTTAAGTCTTCTGACGCTATGAACTCTATAGATTTGGAAATAGAAGGCTTAAAGAAGTTAAGAAGTATGTTTTTCATTGAGATCAAAATCCAAGTCTAACTCAAAACCTTGGGCTTTTCACATTATACTATACTGTTCTCAAATTGCCAAAGAAGTACCTCTTCCATCTCAAAATATAAGTTCAGTTGTCAACGTTTCAGCCTACTGCTTTAGTGGGAGGGAAGAGGGCACCTGCAACAGTATGCATTTCCATACATGCAAATTAGCACTTTGCATGTAACTCCCTCCTTTACATGTGGACCAGGGTAGGGTTTCATCTTACTGATACACTTTAGCTTTGGTAGGCTGCTAACCATGTGGCCCTTTCCATAGCATTCTCATGGCACAAAAGTCCTATCTTCTGGCTGCCAATAGATTAGCCATGTCAATGGGAAAACTGCAATAATTTGTTTTTTACTTTTATTTTTATTTTTTTGGTGGAATCGGGGATTGAACTCAGGCCCTTGAGCTTGCCAGGGAAGCACTTATTCCACTGAGCCATCTCCCCAGCCCCAATAATTTGCAACCTCCATACAAAAAAGGTTATAAATGCTCAATAGTAGACTGTTTGCCAAGAACAATTTCGTGATTTAATGACAAACTGATAAGCTCAGAAAACTTCCAACTCCACATACAAGCAACAGTGAATTCTTATAATGAACACCAGAGAAAATTTACAAAAGTTTTTGGATACAATTTTGGGACAGGTCAAAATACTAAGTGGAATAATCTCACTATTTTGTGATAAATCTTGACAACTTTAACTCATAAGCCAACAATCAATTTACTATATAAATTTAATACTTTCTCAAAACAGATGATTATATTTCAGAATGATTAAACATTTTTCTCGGTGAAAGACCTTGTGACAAGAGAATAAAAAGGCAAGACAGAGAAAAAAATTAGCAAAACATATCTCATCAAGGTCAGGGATCCAAAATATACAAAGAGAAAACAACCCAACTAAAAAATGGCAAGAGTAGAAAAGACATCTCACTAAAGAAAATATAGAGGTCCAATCAAGTATATGAGATGTTCAACATCATGTCACCAGGGAATCACAAACTGAAATGAGCTACCAGCATACATCTAATAAAATGGCAAAAATTCAAAACACTGACAAAAGTGAATGCTGGTAAGCATGTGGGGTAACAAGAACTTTCATTTGTTGCTGGCCAGCAACTAAAACTATAGTTTTATTCTTATAAAACTAAACACATTCTTGTCGTACAATGTGTAAGTACTCCTTGGTATTTACCCCAAAAGTTGAAAACATGTTCAGTGAGTATTTATAGCACCTTTACTCATAATTACCAAAATTTAGAAGTAATCAAAAGGTCTTTAACAGGTGAATGGATAAACAAACTGTGGCACATCCATATCGGGGAATATTATTCCATGCTGCAAAGAAACATCATCAAAACACAAAAAAAGATTTGGAAAAGACTTAATTGCATATTGTTGAATGAACAAAGCCAGTCTGAAAATGAGACATAACTGCTATAACCAATTTACTCCTCTGTATTCTCATTCTGTGGATCATGAAGAAGTCCATGAATAGAAGTGGGCAAAGACTAGGGTGAGGTTTATCAGAACAAAGAAAAGCTCTTGCTAGTGGAGAGGGCTTCTGGGGGCAGATGCCAAAATGCCTAACTCCAGGGGCTTGATGCAGCCACTGCTGGGCTCATAAAAGGGGCAGGTTGTCACTGGCAGTTGCTTTCTAATGTTTTCAAATTTGGCAGGTGTTAAAGAATGAAAGTACGCTGCTGTCACTGACGCTGAGCTTCTGAGGTGAGGTAAACAGACTTCATTAATCCCTCATCCTTTGCGTTCCAATTAGGCCTCTGCCCTTTACATTCCAGAAGGCTCATCCCAGTGTGCTCAGGCCCTTGCCCTAATCTACCAGTGCCTCCTTTATCTTTATGTGACCCCAACCATACGCTATTCTAGAAAAGGCAAAACACGGAGTGCCACGGATGAACCCGAATGTTGACTCTGGACTGATTTATGGTGCTCCCATATGAGCTCATCATAACAAATGGAACACACTATTAAAAGATGGTAGTGACAGGAGAGACTGGGCATGTTGGGCATGGGCAACAGGGAATTCTCCATATTTTCTGCTCAATATATCTGCAAAGATAAAACTTTTTTAAAAATGAGTCCTTTAATCTTTTGAAGTCCTCAGTAAAGTCCCAAGTTTGACTCAGTATATGTACAAATACCTTGAATTTTGATCAAAACTACTATATTCTTGCTTTCTGTTACAAACTGCCAATTTCTTCTTCTCTTAATGACTTCCATAAAAATACATTTTTCATTCCAGGTACCTTCTAGAATTATTCTGTCTTGTTTATAGAGGTACATTATTCTTCATAGGAAGTAGGAACATATTTCTCTCATTTCTTGATCCAATCAAAAATGATAAGTGCGAAAGTAAAATTCCCAACCAAAATTCCAGAGATGAGCAAAACAAAAGCCTATGGGAGGAAAACAAAATGATAAAGAACAATAGTGCTTTTAAAACTTTTCCTCTCAATAATATATTTTAAGTTTTAAGATTTCTTGACTTTTTTGATAAATGTAAAATAAGATAGAATGTACTAGTCTTAAAAGAAATTTAAAAAATCTACCCCAAGCTTTTTCCATGACAGAAAATCCTCTCTGCTAAGTTTAAGATAAAATAGTCCTGGGAACACAAAAATCAAACATGTTGATGTACTGGCACCTGTAAATTGGAGAGAAGAAAGAAAAGGAAGATATTATTGGATTCAGATGGGAGGCACTCTAACAATTTTATTCATTTTATTATGTGAATTTTAAAAAAGGGAACACTTACCAATTACGCCAAATACATTTCTAATATCAGGAACATATATTGCAAGTAAAACAATAATAATGTTAAGTGCCAGAGTGATTAAAGTGTGGCAAATCCATGAGAATGGAAAATTAGAGAAAAATACCATCATTAAAGCTTTTCTGGCCTGTTTAAGGGAGAAAGAAACAGATTTAAGCAAAGAGGAAGTATCACCGGCAAAATATTTGCTTGGAGAAACACATGTGCAGTAGCCATGACATTCTTATGTGCCAAGCTATTTGGACTCCAAAGAAACAGCATAATCTAGTATTATAAAGTGTTCATATACATAAACTATACACATAAGCCTTTCTGTCTGAGCGTCACACATCATTTTGCTTTAATTTAAGAAAAAAAAAATTTGACTGGCAATATTTTAGGTTGTATAATTTTAAACATTACCAAGAATAATACTGTGTGATGAAACATCAAAGAATCATTTTCATTATGTCCAACAGAAAAACAAATGATTTAAAACAGAAAAAAGCGTGTCATGGGAAAGAAATGCCATTTACTATTTTCTTTTTCCTTTTTTTTGTTTTTTTTTTTGGTGGAACCGGGGATTGAACTCAGGCCCTTGCTCTTGCCAGGGAAGCGCTTATTCCACTGAGCCATCTCCCCGACCCCCTTTATTTTCTATTGACTGTTTCACAGTATGTAACTATGGAAAATAGTTCACGACACTTCCCAGTGCTAGGTCAGCGGCAGGAAGTCACAGCCGCACAAAGGCACCTGGCCCTGCAATTGGCTTGGGTTGGGCGGAAAATCTTGAAGGCCCAGTTTAAAAAGCAAAATAAAACAAAGCCAGCAGTGCTCACTGTTGGGGATGCAAGCATTCACGCAGAAGCGCTGCAGCCTTCTTGCCATTTTCTCAGAAATTGTTAAGATCTTACGTATAGCAACTAGATACAGAATGAAAATGTTCTGCCCCTAAATAAACTATAATTCTAGAGCAAGTCAAACATCTTGAATAAGATTAAACTAGCATGTCTATGTGAAAATAAATCTACAATAAGCCAGTAGGAGCTTATTTCTGCTGACTGGACTTTCTCTTCCTCATGCACATTCTTTTGAAAGCAGAATATATAAACTTCCAAAACTCTGGAACTATAGCCTCTAAATTGGAAACAATGCTGTGGGAGAGCGTAAATCTAAACTAACTCTCCAAAAGCACAAATTAGCTTAGTGCTTCACTGTTATTTCTGTGCTTTCATGGGGCCACAGGCAAGTATGAGGGCTTTGATCAATTACTTGACAAATGAATAAGATATACAAGCCTCGATGTGATTCAAAGGTTCTAGTCTGCAAAGAATTAGTGTTGCCATATTAGGGAGCCCTACTACACCAAGTAACAAACCTTTAAACATACTTACAGGGAAGTGGATTAGAGGGACTGTCAAAAGCACAGCAAATAGTATGCATAACTTCACAGTCATGACAACAACATCATGTGGCAAATATTTACTATAACCTCGTAGTAATTCTGACTCTACTTTGTCTGTAAATAAACAACAAAAATAAGGATCATATTATAAACTGTGTAGTAAGATGTCAATAATAGCAAGATTATTTTCCATTGCTCTTGTAGATTTCTATAGGCTTGGAGTTCCATTATCCAAAATCATCTCTGGCCCTTTTGCTACCCTATGAAACACAAAACATTACATAAATACTTCTTGAAACCTACAATCGTTTGTTCCCCTTTCCATAAAATTAGAAACCAGAAAAGGCAGAATCTACAAAATTATGACAATAAGAGTGTGTTTTAAAAGATCTCTTTAGAACTTCTCTATAATCTGAGGGTTTAGAACCCTGAAGTTATTTTTAAAGTGTTCTCACATGCTTGGTGAATGTGGTTCCAGTGATACTATATGACAGGTAGTTACGATTCACAGTGTGCAGGCCTAAAGCACTTGCCTGAGGTCACACAATGTAAGAGGGGAGAGCTGGAGGAACTATACACCCAGGGTGCGTTGGTGCTCAAGCTGCTGCCTTTTCCTCAACACCACAATATTTTTTAGAACATTAAATCGTGCAGTTTGCCAGCTTCACCAATATGTCACCTATGCACTCATTTTTCAGAAGGGAGAAAGAAATGTTAGGGAAATGGCTTACTTAGAAGAATAACAGTGCTCAAGAAAACTGCATTTCTGTCCCTAGGGGCAAAGGTCATTTTTGCACTTAAATCAAAATGGTGCACTTTAGTTTGAGAGCATGGTTTCAGAAAGGTCGTTCTGATGGGAATTTTGTTAAAATATCAAATATAATATTTGTTTTCAAGGACCTTAACATTTAAAGGGAAGATAAAATGAATATATACAAACATAATGGAAGGCATACAGACATAAATGCAGTGGCAGAAGACCTAAAAAAGATTAAGATTCTAAACTGAGACCACAGAGCAGTGTCCAAATCCCACCTCTGAGTAGCAACTTCTGAGTCACAGTTCCTACATCTTTAAAATGGGGACAATACCCTGACCGATAGCAGTGGTGGTGACCTATGGCACTCGTGCCCCAGCAGGCTGTTTGCTATCACTTGAAAGCCCTAGCGTTCTCCATCACTGACCTGCAGTTACTGAAACATTAAATGAGCCAAAGTAATTTGGATTCTATTTCCAAGTCTAAGAGATACTTGTGTCTTTGGAAATGCACGGCGAACTAATTTATTTCCACTTTCTAAATCATAATGAATGAACATGTGTGGATAGTCAAAGATGTGGGGCAAGTCTCTAGAAGCAAGAAGTGACACAAGTGGAAACCTGGTAGCAAATGAACATGCACCTGAGAAAATGATCAATCCAGTGAGCATGCAGTGGTTGAAATACAATGTGCAGGACAGCAAAGACAGGGTGGGTTTGATAAGACTGGGGATGCACGGAACACCTACTAACTACAGTTCTGCATAGGATTTAGGACTCCATCTGGCAGGCCACAGGGCCCAATAGCAACTTAGGAAACAGAGCATCTTATGATCTGAACTGAGCACACATACGGACTAGAAGGAAAATGCCCAAAAAAGGATAAAGGCAGAAGATTACTGCCTTTATAATCACTGAGTGGTAATGAGAATCTGAACTAGACTGATAGTGGAAACAGGAGAGAAATGAATTATTTGAAGTACTATATGTAAAATTTACACAATACGAGACTAATAGATTAAAAAGGAGACTCAGAAGAGCCTAGTAATTTGGATTCTATTTCCTAGTCTATGAGATACTTGTATCTTTGGAGATGCACAGCAAACTACTTTATTTCCACTTTCTAAATCATAAAATATGCTATCAATGCTTCTTGCTTAACTTCAAACTTGTGGTTATTATGCAACCTTTGGGCATTGGCCTCCTCACCAGAGGAGCACTGTTTTCTTCCCTGGTACATAATGCTTTCACATCTATAATTAGAGCCAGTACTATTAATCAAGGTACATATTTATAGGTCCTTTAATCTGACCAAACTTAGATTATTAACTAAGCCTTGAGAGCTTTGGATAAAAGGATGCGAGGCAGCTCCAGAAGCTTGAAAAAGAGATTACAAAATCAAGATACATGTCACATGTCTACCTTCTACTTTCCCAGGATAAAAAACTGTTCTTCTCAGCCAGTCATCCTGTGTTCTGAGCTGAGCCTCACCATAGGTAAGGGATACAGTACAATACACTTCTCTGAACTCAGATAAGTCCTTGCAAATCTCAGAAAGGAGCTGAATGTGATTGCCGTACATCATATATGCATGCCCCTAAAGTCAAGAGGCTGTGCTGTCCTGTTCAATATACACTGTCAAACAAGCAATGAAGTTTATAAAGGTTATCAGAAAGAATGGTGGATTAGCATTCAGAAAACCTGCCTTTAATACTATGAGGACACTTCACCTTTGTAGGTTTCAGTTATTCATCTAATAAATAAAATTGGAAGCCTTAACTCCAAGCTAGTCTTTTTGATAAGATCTTGGGCTAAATCAGCAAATTTTTTTCCATATGAAAGAGACTGCTTTCCATCCTGATAGAAAGACACAGATTTTTCTTGTTTATGAAAAGAACCACTATGAAGAACAAATCAACGTCTGCATCTTCTGTCTTTGGAGGAGGGATGACTTTTCCATGTTCTGTCTTTATAGCTCAGCTCTACCATCTACTTACCTCCTACAAGACTTTCCCTAGATGAGTGTTTCTCCATTATCTACAATTTAGGTACTGTGAAAAGTGGTGCTACGGTGAAACATAACAGCTTCAGTTGCTAACAAGACAAATCACTACCTAGGAAACATTTTATTTATATGGTAAAACTTTAACTTCTGTACTTAAGCAACAATAAAGATGTACTTAAGCATCCAAAAAATGATGGATGAATGGGTAAAGATATGTAGGAGTGTAAATCAGCTAGCTTTTTCCAAAAATTATTATAAAAACTTGGGAATGAAGGAAATCTCTATAACATTAGCAGATATAGTATGTAACATAATATAATTTTTGAGGAGGCAGTACAATAAAAAAGGATTTGGAAACAAAACTGGATTTAAATCTTAAATCCATTATTAACTGCTTGCAGGTATGAATCTAACTGATCCACCTAAATTAACCTATACACTCTTTGTGGAGTTGTTCTAAAGATTACATTGGGAATGGATATAAAGCACCAACATACTTAAATGTGAGCTCAATAAATGTATTAGCAGCCATCCCTGCTCCATGTCCCTTTCATTCCAAGCTTTCTTACAACATAATACAGGTGTGAAGTACCTAATGACTCATGTGACTATTTCTCAGTCTCTCTGGATATTAGTAGGCCACACCTGAGGTTTCTTCCACGTGGTTCTACTTATCCACAGGGAGAAGAAAGAGGCAGTTTTAGACTTTTTTCTCAATGTTGAAGATCCCTAATAACCGTTTAAGTGTCCCTAATCTGAAAAATGAAAATCTAAAATGCTCCAAAATCCAAAATGCAGGACTGGAGAGATGGCTCAGTGGAATAAATGCTTCCCTGGCAAGCCCAAGGGCCTGAGTTCAATCCCTGGTTCTGGAAAAAAAAAAAAAAATCCAAAATGTTTTGCACTTAAAAGTCTCTGCAAATATTCTAAAATCCCCAAAACTCTGAACTACTTTCTAGTCTCAAGACAAGTGATAACCAGGAGTACTGGTGCTGAAAATTTTAATTCAATTTTACATTAAAATTTTAATTTAAATTCTGCTACACTAAGTTTAATTCACAGGCATCATGGGTATATTAGCTTATTAATACAGAACATTTTGATTGTGTTCAGGTCTATATAAAAATGAATCCAACAATAAAAATAGAACTCATATATCTCAAGAATTTCATTAATGATAAAAAAAAGTCTGACAATGTGTTTTTACTTTTCGTTTGTATAGCAGGGCACCGTGCTCACAAGGGAAATCTTTTTGATGGTATACACAAAGTTCTACTACATCTCCAGATCAGCATAAAATGTAAAAGCAGGTCAGATTAATGAGACAGTCTTTACTATACTGCTGAAATAACAGAGATAGAAAAGAGGGACTGTACGCAGCAATTCTAATTTTCTTCCACACTAGAAACCCTATGGTAATACAGCATATACTAAAAACTTCCTGTATTTCAGTATTTATATTTAGTAAGATAGCAAGAGATTTCTGAAACTATGAAACAACTAAAATACTGATGATAACAGTAATAGTCACATACCACTCACAGTAGCTCTCATTTGGGAAGGACTCTTACGTGCCAGATGCTGCAGGAGGCATTTTACATAAAACTCATTTCTGTCTCAATGAACCTTATGCAGTTACCCCATATCACATGAGATGAAGAAGATTATTTGAGGGCTGGGGAGGTAGCTCAGGGGCATAAGTGCCTGCCTGGCAAGCCCAAGGTCCTGAGTTCAATCATCAGTGCCGGGCGGGGGGAGATTATTTAAGGTCACACAGCTAGAGTACAGGAGTTATGTGATCCGGATTTGCTGGCCCTCAAACCCACACTCTTTGCAAAGAGCTCAGGAAACATGGCAAAGCAAGCAGACAATGTCCAACAACTTGTCAGATTGGGGAAACTCTGGGAGGTTAAGTGTCCCTGCCAGGCATCATGGGCGCTGCAAACCTGCAAAATGCAAGGCCATCACCCAAGCAGTGAGTCACAACAGCTAAGTGTTACCTGAGCCATGATAGCCATTTACTGGCATAAACTTAAAACTGTATTTCCAATTTGACAAACTGAATGTAACTTGTGTTATAATGTGTTTACAAGTTAAAATGTTTACAAATTAAAGGAGAGCTTACGATTTTCTTTGTTTAGACTTTCAAGTTTTATTTTTTTCCTAAAGTTCTTATGAAAAGCAGAGGAGCCGGAGAAGGGGGCGGAGCAGGAGGAAGAAGAAAACAGAAGTATGCTAAACAGGAACTTCTTCCAAAGTAAGAAAGGGAACTTTGCACTTTTACTATGGATTTAAAAGTACCTTTAAGAGAATAGATAAACAAGGCCACGGTGCATCGCAGAGTGCACACGTGATGGATTCTGCGATAACTGAGGTGGAAAGAAGAGAGACGTCTGATGAGCGCCCAGTGCACAGCCCCTTTTCAACTTGTGCTCTCACAATTAAGACGACCTACTCTCTCAACTCCAAACATCTTAGAATCTAGTATATCAGACATACGAATTTAAAAATCCAAGAACTTTATTTTGTAGAAAAACATCAATGTTTCTAAACTTAAATTTTTACTTAGGCATATTAGAAAAAAATTCATATGAGGTCATTAATCTTTTTTTTTTTTTTTTTTTGTATTCCAAGAAAACTTTATTTATAAAAGCAGGAAGCTCAGGACCTGGAGGATGCTGATAACCCCTGGCACGGACAGCGTCCGGGGCAGGAAGATGGGAGAAATCAGGCTGGCTCCCCTCAGGCACGGTGGTTTGCGCCTGCTCCCTAAGACTGAGCCTTCCACACTATGCACACTGAACCTTGAAATACAGGTCTCTTGTCCTGTGTATCTGTGTCACATGGGGACATAGCCTCAGTTTCAAGCCTTATTGACTCTTCTTGTGTTGTCACTATTTTAAATAAAGCCGGACAGTGTAATACCCCCCACGTTGTGGTTTGGGGTTTTGCAAGGGGAGCAAGAGGTCATTAATCTTAAACCAAATCCTTTCTTTCTTTCTCTCTCCCTTTTTTTTTTTCTTTTTTCTTCAGGACTAGGGATCTAATCCAAGGACCTCACACTGTGCTTTTTTTATTTTCAGACATGTCTCACTAGGTCACCAAACTGCCCATATTGGACACAACTTCTGATCTTCTGACCTCATCTCCGAGAGCCAGTGTTACAGCTGCCACCAGACTCAGCTGAGAGAAATAACCAGTTAAGGCCCCAGTGTCACAGAACACTGCAGTATAATACAGTGGCCCAAATGAAGTGACTTACTGATGAAAGTCAGAAGGACAGTAATCAGAAATTAAATTATCTACATAATAATGTATTTTGCCATCTATAATTAAGGAATGTACTCACCATAAAAAGTGAGGTAGCCAAAGAGTGCAGCTATAAAGTAAATGAGAAAACTTAGAGCAATTGCTGTATTGGTTACATTCTGCATTCTTTTCTTTGAGGGGCTAAAAAACAAAAATGGCAAATATGGAATTTATTAACTGAATTATATCTACAGAAACAAGTATCTTCCAAGCTAGTTAAGAGGATTCCTCCATCACTGAAGACCCAATTCATCAAGAACTGTATGCACTAGAACTCACAATTTGAAATTAGTACACAAATATTATACTTCCAGGAAACATTTTCAATTTAGATACGATTCACTCTCTTTTTGTTTTGCTCCATCTTAAACTGAAACTTAGAACATTGAGATAAAAGGAAAGGATTCATAAACAAGAATGTTATTTGATCGAAAAGCCTACAGATAAAAAGACACACTTGAGACGTTTGGAGTACTTCAGGATTGTATAGTACCTTTGAAGTTCACAGTATATGGGCAAAATTGAGGTATGGCAGAGGAATGAAAAAGCCATGGTCGGGACAGCGTAAGCACTCTGAAAAAGAATTTTAAGAGACTTAAATGTTATTCTACTGAAGCTACTGCTACTCTTGACAACAAATGCATTTTTTTAAATCAAATTTCATTTGTCACAAGGCATCTCTTTTAATATTTTTTTTTTCTTTTCAAAGAGAGACACATTTATGGGCTTATGGCCAACCACAAATATCCTATTTGATATTTGGTTTTCCTATACTGGCTAGAATAGTTTTTAGCTTGCTTCCCATACTGCTTTTTTTTTTTTTTTTTTTTTTTTTTTGTGGTGGAACTGGGGATTGAACTCAGGCCCTTGTGCTTGCCAGGGAAGCACTTATTCTACTGAGCCATCTCCCCAGCTCCACCATACTGCTTTAGTACAATCCTCACTGCATATTATTTGAGATAAAAATAATTCAAGTAACATAAAATTACTACCACTTTAGAAATATTCTTACTGCAATTCTCAGTCTTTCCTAAGTATACATAAAAATACATCTTACTACCTGAAGCAGCAATAACACTTGATGCTTTTAAACTTGCTTTTACCAACTCAATCCAAGGAAATATTAAAAATATTAATCATATCTTTGCCCGGGCACCATCTTTGACCATGATCTCTTTCAGGAAGAATACCCACTTATTGTAGACTTAAACACTTTTAGAGATCCTACGTAATATATAAGCCAACTTTTTGTTTTGATTATTAGAATACCTAACAAGAGCCAGCAGAAACTATAAAAGAATGGTTATCTCTAGATAAAAACTGTTTTTATCCAGTGGATGGTGGAACTTTTTTCTGCTCTAAGAATATTTTCTCTTGACTAGCTTTTGGATCTTCAGAAAAAGAAGTTCAGGCTGAAAACCTTCCTCAGCCTATAATGCCCAAAATATGAGAGGAGAGACTCCTAAAATATGGCAGGAGAGAAGTGTTTTCTGCTGGGAATGAGTTCAATCCACAAATTCTCTTTCACATATTGCTCAATTTCCTGGCTTGCCAATTATCCTACCTAGATCTTAAGGCACATGGAGGGCTTTGCCACGTAAAAGACATGCTAACTTCCCTTATGGGACCAGAGAAGCATTTTGGAAGGGATAAAAAGGAAAATTCTGTATGGAGAAGTAACCACATAAACATTCTTCAGCAACAGAATTATACACGAGAAAGGATTCTAGCATCTGTGACCCCACAAGGGCACTTTAGTAGAAGCAGAAAGTATAGAGGAAAAAATGTGCAAAAACAAGACTTGTTGCACTCTTCTGTAAGAGGTGAAAGCAGAGACCATCCAGGTGAGCGCCCGCCCAGGTGCCTCTGCTGAAGCTCAGAAGTGCTTGCAAGCATTTCTAGCATCCTAAGGTTCTTAGAGAAGGACTTGGTCTTCTAGTCTCTGATCCAGGCATCATGAATTTCAATTCTGGAATACTGATCAGAAAAGACTCTGGCAGTGCTCGCTGGTCCAGTGTTCAAATGGTTTAGCTGCAACCAAAGTTCTACTCACAGGGGAAGAGTTATTGATGTAATTGGCTATTTAGCTTTACAAGTCCAGAGGGCAACAGGAAGTCTGTATCCACAGAAGACCTTACTGGCCAGACCAGACATTCGGTAAATCTGTTCTTTTAGGCAGAGACCCATTTAAAACAGGCTGTATTTTAAAACATGCCAAAAAAGAAAAAAAAAAAAAAAAAAAAAAAAAGTGCCGGTTCCATAATGGGCCACCCTGTGTTAAATAATATTATTCTTCTGGTAGGCAATCCTATACTTAGCACTTTCATGAAAATTAATTAGTTACAGGTACAAAGACCTAAGAGACCCTGTTACACAAATCTCTTAAAACTTGAAATGTGAAAAATCAACCAAAAGTATCTGTTAATAACTTACACACCTCTTTGGAGAAATGAAAGAGTGTTGGTTTACAATCATCTGTAGCATTTGAAACCTGTTTAAGAGTATTGAGGGGGGAAAAGAGAAACCAACAGCTATTAAAAGTCAGAATACAGCAACAAAAATGGTGAATTAATTATTACTAGGCTTTCAAATCAGATTATATTTCCAAACAAAGTTCCAAAATGCAATACAGCTATTACTTTTACATCAGGAAAAAAGTCATTCACTTGCCTCTCTGTTCTTTTCAGAGTAAAAGTAAAAAACACAAACAAAAACTATTACCTGGAAGAACTCCTCTACAGATTTTAATGTCAGAGGACAAGGGATGGACCATTTTTTAATTATTATCTGTAAAAATAAATACAATCAGCACTTAGATTATTTCTTTTTTTTTTTAGTTCTCATTATTTTTATCAAATTCATGAGAAAGTGATTTCAAATAAATCGGCACTATTTTAATAAATCTAAACCATTTCAAATAAGATGCTAGTAGACCGCTGGCTAATATGATGTTCCTGGTTAGAATGGGTCATCACTTGAGCGTGGGAGGGACAGGGTGTGGGGTGCTTCACATCTGCTCCCTTGGGATCATTTTTCCTTACTTTTCCAGGTTTCTGTCATTTTTGGTAAATGCGGAGAAATCTGGCTATAATAAGAGCACACAGCTAGGGAATTCCAGCTGGTAAAAAATGAATTCTATAATAGTAAAAGAAATCCAGAGGGATGCTGTCTCCCTAAAATATGCAATGAACTGTTTCAGGCTTTTACTCTGTGGCCATCCTGTTTACATATATTACCACTGTTGCCAGTGTTTCAGGCACATAATTACTCTGTAAATGTTTACTCCTGGCTGAATCACAGCATACAAAGAAGCAAGCAAGAATAAAGGACGTATTTGTCCTTTGTGGGAGATCAATCAGTAAATACTATTCTTATTCCTACTTGGTGATTAGATCAATCAGTAACCACTATTCTTATTTCCATTTGGTGTTTATCTAGCTTTGCATTTTAGCAAATTCAATCAAAATGTTGTAAGTGGTAAAACAATTCTAAATAAAATACTTTAAGGACGAAGTTAATGTGTGAACTAAACAGCTACTCAATTAAAAATCTCATCAAGAAAAAGAAAGGCTATAAAATGCACTGGGCCCCACCCCCAGGGGCATGCTGAGATGGCAATTGAGACTGGGCGTGGTATGAGCGCCTGTAATCTCAGCTCTTGAGGCTGTAAATAGGCGGATCACTACGAGTCTGATCTAGTAGTAAGACCCTGAACACCCTGTAGGCCTTTCCCTAAAATACAAAGAAAAAAAAAAAATACACCGGGCATGCTGCGAGATTTCTGGTACATTTTCAACTACTCTGCCTTCACAAAAGATAAACTAGAGACATTTGTAGTTAAGTGGATATACCCTGTGACCATAGTGTTCAGAGAAATAAATTAGACACACAACCTTTAATGTCACATGGCTTCTCTTATATGAGAAACTCAAACTATAAATAAAAAGCAAAATAAAGGATAATAGGAGTCCTTTTCAAGTGGTAAGAGAAATTGAAGCAAAAAAGGAAATAGAGGTTTTGCTAATGCAAAAATCAGGAAGAGCTGGAAAGAGCAGGGAGGAATGGGGATGAACAAAGAATTAAGAGGTGTTACACACACACACTAATTCCCCATCACCAATGTCACCATATATACTACAAGCATATACGAAAAAGCTCCACAGAAGAACGAATTCACAAGCATACTGATTCTTTTTTTTTTCCCTGAAGTATTTAACAAAACAAAGTAAAGGAAGAAGATGGGCTGAAGGCGAAGCTGCAGGAGCAAGGCCATTACTGGCTTCTCCTGAGCCCTGCTGGCAATGCTGTGCAGCTTCTGGCACTTCCTCCTCACCAGCAGAGGGCCTGTGGAAGGCGACAGCCATTGATGGAGCAGCTGCTGGGTGCCGGGGACCTACTTTTACACCAGGTACCTTGAAGAGTGGTATATGTGAGCTAGTTATTTATTTTACCAGGCGGCAGATGCGATGGCACATGCCTGTGATCCAGGCATTTGGGAAGCTGAGGCAGGAGGATCACTGTGAGCTCAAGGCCAGGCTGGGCTACAAAGTGAGTTCGCGGCCAGTCTCAACTGAATAGCAAAACTGTCTCAAAAAGACCAAAAACAAACACTTTTTGTTTCTTTAATTAGAAAAATCTGTGAGCAGCCAAGTTTTAAATTAATGTAAGTTTGGATACTACAGCTTTTTTTTTTTTTTTTGCAGAACCGGGGATGGAACTCAGGCCCTTGCACTTGCCCTGGGAAGCCCTTATTCTACTGAGTCATCTCCCTCCGCCCCGGCTACAGCTAATTCTTGTGCAACATTTGTCTCCATCCCACACCTGCATGGTGGGATAGGTGATGGCAGGCGACGGCTCCCAGTGTTCAAGTGAGCCTTCCACACCCAAATACAAGGCTCTCAGCAGAAGAGAAGCTTCTCACTAAAGCCCATTTAAATCGTCATCTATTTTGTTTACTAACTTACTAAAATATTATTTAAAATACTGACCTAAGACAACACTTCTAGAAGAAATGTCAATCCATTTGTTTCTAAAGTGGAAGAAATGTCAATCCATTTGTTTGGTGTTACACATACACACACACCCCAAAAAAGAAATCCATCCATTTATGAAATTTTAGATATTTTGGGGAGGGAAATTTTTGTTAATTTTTTAATAAAAGGAATCTAGAAGAATAGAGTACGGGTTTTTTATTTGTATTGTTTGAAGAATGCAATTAAGAAAACAGCTTTCTAGGGGGGCCCGCCCACTAGCTCAGTTGTTTAAGTGCCTGCTTAAACAAAGCAATCAGTCTCTGGGAG